GGTTCAGCCCCAAGCTGGCTTGAACTCAGCCAGGTCTTTCTAAGGAGGTTTTGTTAGAATTCCACAGGATCCCAGTTTTGAAGCTCAGACCAGGAAGGAGAGAGCTCCACTTCTGGAGTGAGTTCTGTGTGCTGAGGACTTTCATATACATCGGGGGGGCGGCGGGGGGACAGACATACACCTTTCTATTGTAAACTCCATATCTACAATCAGCAGTTTTATTTTAGCAACTGGAAGAAAAATCTTAGTCCCAGAAAGGGACTGAAAGATTATATTCTTTTTTTTGTGAAGGAACTTGTTTTATTCATGTCTGTGTCTTTCACAGCTTTGAACAGAATAGATGCTCACAGCATTTTTTTTTTAAGTGAACAAATCTCCTTATGTGACATATGGGAAAGCAGAAATCCAGAGAAGCAGAGTGCCTTGTCCAGGGTCAGACAGCTGGTGTGTAGCAGAGAAAAGATTCAAATCCAGTTGCTCTGTTTGCAAGTCAGGCACTTTCTGTGGCATCGCACTGACGCACAGGAAGTGGATTCTCTGAACACAGAGGCCTTCACACAGGTGGGGAATTAAAGACAGAGAGGACAGGACCTCAGGGCTGCAGATGCCCAGGAGAGGTCAAGCTGATTTAGGCTTTCTGGTTTTGTCCAGCTGCGCTCACCCCTTTCTTAACCACCCGTTTCACGGTGCCTGGGACTTTGCTGAAGCCCCTGCCCGAGCTTTGATTCTGGGAGAGGCTCCTTGCTGTTTGGTCTAGGACAGGGCATTACATCCTTGGGGCCACAAGGTTTGACTCCCTCTCCTGAGTAAGGGTTACCTGCCCCCTGTGGAGTGGGAATGAACGCAGCCTCCTGACCTACATAGTATCCCCAGGTCAGGTTTCCAAGGGAGCAGGGCATTCCAGAATGTACTCACTGATTCTGGGGAGGCCCGAGCCTCTGGCCTGGAGTGAGTGGCTCTTGTGAACTGGGCTTTCAACTGGCAAAATCCAATCCGTTCAGCACTTAGATTGGGGTAGGGCAGAGGGTGTTATCAGATCCTTTGGTCAACCTCAAAGCCTGTTGCCCTCAGCTGACTTTTCAAATCGAAAGTAGTCCTTGGGTGAAAGGACTCGCTTTCTTTAGTAATTCGCTTGTTTTGGTGAAATCAACAGTCATTGAGTCAATCTCATCTATCAAAGAGAAAGGGTGACATCGATTTCTATAAAGAGTGCCTTGAGTCCCTGTTTCATGCCAGGCAGGGTCCTGTGATGTGTCATTTGACCCTGGCAACCCTAAGAGGAAGATGATGTCCTGCCGGTTTCACAGAGAAAGAGACTGAGGCTTAGAGAAGTTAGTGAGTGGTAGAGCTGGGACTGGAATCAGGGCTGTCTCACCCCAAAATTCACTTTGCTACTGCTGTGCCCCTGCTACAGACACCAGGATCCACCCTGAGATCTTGAGACATTTCTCAATAAATGTGTCAGTTACTGATGGATTTGGGGGCGCGAGCTTCTATCTGCCCACTCATTCCATGCCTGACTGCTTCCCGAAGGGATTCTTCCCCCCAAGATGGCCCCTCTTTTCTTTCTTATTCCTGAGCACTCCCTTTCTGAAGCTATTCTGATGACAAGTCTCTTCCTCCCTCCTCAAGTTCCTCTCATGTATTTGCTTTTTTCTTATATTAAGCTCCAGCCTTCAGTATCTGAGTCAGTGGAAGGGGAGATGTGTGCCTCGTCCGGTTGGGAAACCCACCCTTCCTCTGTCCCACCCTGATCTCCAGGGCCCGTGACCTAAAGTCTACATGGAGGGGGCAGGGAGAGATGGAGGATTTTGAAAAGTCATTTTTTTGAGGACCTGCAGATTTTTAAATTGAGGGAAATGAGAAAACCTTGAGGTTATTAGGTCCAAATTAAGAGAAAAAAAACCATGGTTAGAGAATAAAAGCATCTGTTTTTTGAGCAGTACGTGGTGCCAGGCACTTAGCACCAATCTGTGCTACAGCCTGTGAAACAGTGGTTGTTACACTTATTTCACATGGGCGAAAACTGAGGCTCAATGAGGTTTTTCTTTTTTGGGAGGGGGCTGCACCCCACAGCTTGAGGGATCTTAGTTCCCTGACCAGGGATCCAACCCACACCCTCAGCAGTGAAAGCATGGAGTCCTAACCACTGGACCACCAGGGAATTCCCCAATGAGGTTTTTCTGGTGAAAACCTGTGCCCTTTCCGTTGCCCACCCCGCCCCTGTCCATGGCCAAGACTGGCTGGAGGAAGGCCAGACCATGGTGGTCACACTACATATGGCCTAGTCCTTCTTCCCTGAACTTGCTATTGTCTTAAAGACCGGGTTGAGTTGGAGCTATCAACATCATTCTCACTCTCAAAAAGGAAGAGATTTCTTTGGTTCTTGATTGTAGTATCTGCTGTTTGTTGGGTCATTTCAGGAGAAATGAGGGAGTAGCCTTTGACCTGCAGATTATTTTCTGGTACTGAGTACCTTGCTTAAAATCATTTTACACCATGGCTTACAGTACCATTTCCCAATTGTGATTCACTAGGTAGATACTCTGTAAAAATAATGTCTTGTAAGTGACGAAAATAAACATTTAGTATTTACCAATCTTTTTTAAAAAGACCCTTAGTATTCCACGGAGTATGGTTTGGGAAAGACTGACCTACTAAATAAAGGCCACGTTCATTATTTTGACCTCCAGTGCCCTTCATGAGCTGCCTGTGCTTGCCTCTGTAGCCCTGTGTTTCACCCCTCCCCCATCCCCTGCCCCATACCCCCTTTTCTGCTATTACAGAACTTCAAGAAGTTCTCTGCCGCTCTGATTGCTGCCTTATAAGCCTTTGCTCTGCCTGGAATACGCACCCCCTCACTACCATCCCCTTAACTCCTAGAAAATACCTATTCGTGTTTAGGATTCTAGTCAAGTATACCTTCCCCTTAGTAACTGACCTTGGTCCCCCCAGCTTCTTTCATAGTTTCTATAAAGCCCATAAGTGCACTTACATGTTTTCATATGTTCCTCCAACTGGATGCTCGTAGGGCAGGAATTATAACTTCTCATTTCTGTGTCCTTAGCACCTATCATAGTGCCTGGCTTATTTATTGAGCTGTGTGTGTGCGTGTGAGTGTATTTATTTATTTATTTATTGGCTAGTTCCACAGGTTTGCCCTTTTAGGTTAATTTTAGAATAATTTTTTAAGGTTTTTTTCTCCAAAGCTTTTTAGGATGTTCCTAGGGATCTGATTAAGTTTACATCTTAACTTTTGAGTTTATAAGTTGAGGGTTCTTATAAATGGGTGTTATTATAAATAAAAATCCTAGCGATCTATTCAAATTGTCCTTTATGTCCTTGGCTTCATAAAGGCTCTATGCAGTTCTTGGTAAGCTAATAACTATTTATAGCATCATCTTGGCCATTATGATGATTTTTTTTTTTTTCTTGCGGTACGCGGGCCTCTCGCTGTTGTGGCCTCTCCCATTGCGGAGCACAGGCTCCAGACGCGCAGGCTCAGCGGCCATGGCTCACGGGCCCAGCCGCTCCGCAGCATGTGGGATCTTCCCGGACCGGGGCACGAACCTGTGTACCCTGCATCGGCAGGTGGACTCTCAACCACTGCGCCACCAGGAAGGCCCCATTATGATGATTTTATCTCTTCTTTTAGATTTTTAACTGGGTATTTTTTATAAAACGATTGGTTTTTATCACTTGTTTAGTGGCCAACATCATCAGTGCATTCTCTTTATTATTTTTTATTTGTTGTTCTTACATTTCCCAACAATACATTTATATAATTTCGTAGTGATTATAAAGTTGCCTGCTGTTTTCCAGGCCTGGGTTTTTTTTGCAGTTGTCTTCCAAGTCGTCGAGGTTTCAGTGCTAGAGGTTCTTCCTACGCGGGCAAGAGTGACTCTGGAATCTTCCACTCCTCTATCTCCTCAGGTTTACTGCTGGCTTGTCAATCCTGACCACCCAAAGGAAGGTGTCCATTTGTCTCAGGAAGGGCAGAGTCACTCCCTTGCCACTGTCCAGGTCTATCTTTAGGCTGTCAGCCCCTCCCCTCTGCTCTCTTCCCCTCTCTCTGGTCTCCCAGTGCCTTGCTTTGATTTGTAGTCGGAAGTTCCCCTCGTCCCGTTGTGTCTTCCCCCTCATTTCCCAAGTTCCCACAGGAACCTGAGAAGTCTGCTGTGCCCAGAGGTTAGAACGGAAACTGCAGCAAGATAACTCCAAGGGACAATGCCCAGCTGACGTCATTGCAACTTCTTTGCCTCGGCCAGAGCGGCGTTTTGGTTTTTTTCTTCCATTTTTCTTCAGGTTACTCTTCTACCCCACCCAGTCCAGTCCCTGTCAACCTCTCTTTGAAAGCTCTCTGGCATTGTCTGGTTGGTTTATGTGTTTCCTCATATTCTAATGCAAAATCCCTGGTTCCAAGTGGTGACTTAGAAGCTTGTTCTTTGGTAGAGTTGCTTTCTTTTGAAGCAGAAGCATTCCCTTGCGACTCTCGTAATAAACCACCCTCCCCCACCCCGTCATCATGCTTGTGTTTCCATGACACTCCTGAGAGGCAGGTAGTGTAGGGATTGTATAGCCGTGATCTCCAGGAAAACACACGTGTGCATTGAATGAGTTGTCATCAATTGTAAAAAAGAAACCTTTACTAACCCCAGTTACTATTCTTTAATTGGTTTCAGTCAAGAAGATGATAAAAGGAAACTCAGGTTTCTGGAGGGTCTAGTCCATGCCAGGCAGCGTGCTAAGGCCATTCTCATGAATTCTTTTCCTTGGCTCTTATTAGCTTACCTCCCTAGAAAAGCTCCATTTTTCTTAGTGTTTAGCAGAGGAACTAAGGCTCAAGGTTTAAAAACATGGGCTTGAGGTCAAGTCCAAGTTGAACGCTCTTTCTTCCAGATGGTTCCATGTGTGGGAATGTCACGTGTGTCAACCTGGGGCTAGAATGCAGGGGAGTGGCCAGTCACTCAGTGTCTGTTCGTTTTGTCTCCTCCCTCCAGCTGTACCTGCAGGCCCGCTTCACTTGGCGAGGGGCCCGCCTGCTCCGGCCCCTCCTGCAGTTCACCCTGATCATGATGGCCTTTTACACAGGACTGTCCCGCGTGTCTGACCACAAGCACCATCCCAGTGATGTCCTGGCGGGGTTTGCTCAAGGAGCCCTGGTGGCCTGCTGCATAGTAAGTAGCCTCTTGTCCTCGGCACACAAGCAGGGCCCTGGATGGCTTGCTTGTTAAACGTTTCCAGCTCAGTGACCAAAGCCAGGGAGCTCAGTCCTCTTCTCTGCTTGGCGTCTGAGGAGCCATCCTGCCCCAGGAGCCCTTCAGTGAAATGAGGATAATTCCTGCTTCTTTCCAGCCTGGGAGTCTTAATCCAACAGATTCTGTGAATCCTTTTCTCCAGAAATACGGAAGGTTCGTGCTCATAGTTGCAATAGCAAGAGGTCTTAGATATTATTCTACTCGCTCACTCTATCCATGAGGGCAGTCAGGGTTCAAGAGGAGAAGAAACTTGCCTCAGGTCACATGTCAGGAGTCTAAGTGTCTGACTCATATGTTTCTCACATGCTGCTTTGGTGATCACTTGCTATTCAGAAGCACTTCCCAGCTGCTTGGAAAACATCTACCCTTCCCACTGTGACCTTTACAGGACTTGGTCAGACCCTAAACTAGGTGTTGGCTGGGGAGGTGGGAGTATGGCGAAGGCTAAGCCCTCTCCTAGCCTGAGGGCTTTGTACGATCAAGTCACAGAGCTTCCTAGAGAATGGCCTTGGGATGGACCACATTCCGATCGGCCTCAAATGACCTACCCCTCCACGTACTTCCTCCCTGACTCCCAGTGAGGGGGGATGAGGCATTCCACCTCTGAGGCTCTATCTCTTCAGGAATCTCTGCTTTTTTTTTGCCTGCTAAGTTTTTGTTTTTAAGAGTCAAAAAGAGAAACTTTTTTTTTTTTTTAATCTGTACAACATTACATTTCACACTAAAATTTTGAGGGTTTTTTTTCAGCAAACACAACTGAGTACCTCCTCTGACATTGTGCCTTCCTGGGCCCTACTCAGGGGCACTCACCCTGGTCCAGCAGGAATCCGTGTTCGAGTACCACAAATGCAGCTTGTATTGTTAGTTTAACCCTTGCTCATTCCCGGTAAGAATCATGAAGTGAGATCTAGGCCAGCCCCTGGTCCTTTCCTGGTTTTTCAGCCTGGCTGCAGCCCCATGTCTCCCTGGAATAACCTCCCTGCTTTCCTGCATTCGTCACCCTGTGTTGAAATTGTGGACGTGTGTCTCCCTTTCAATCGTTTCTCAGGGACAGGGACCCTAGTTAACATATATGTTATTCTCCCTGTGTCACCAAGGCCTCTCAGAGATTCTAGCTCAGAGTAAGTGAATGCGTGTGTAATCAACACAAAGCTAGTACTCTTGAGAACATTCTCTTGAAGGCAGAGGGACGGAGAAGGCACAGCCCTTACTTCCAAAAAAATCCCAGTCTAGTTGCTCACAGCCAGGCCAAGCACAGGAGCTACAGTACAACGAGGGACTATCACGGGGACTGGCCAGGGCACTTCGGCAGGCAGGTGAGGCAAGAAGAGGGGCAGGGAGTTGGGGTGATCAGAGTGGACACCACAAAGAAAGCAGCATCTGAGCTGCCGGCCAGCCTCATCCCAGGAACCCTAGTCTAGGGACTGGCTGTTTTGAGGGCTTTATTCGTTGCTTTCTTTCGTTTTTCTTTTCAGTCAAGGCTAGAAGGGAGAGAAATTGGGGGAGCAGACTGTTAATGAGAGCAGCTGTCACTGAGAGCTTGTTCTCTGAAGCTTGGCCCTTTAATGTGAAGTGACAGTGGGGGATGGGTGTTTGCACGACAGGGTAACCCTTTGCTGACCGTGCCATCTGAGCTTTGCTCTAGGCAGGAGGTCAGCCCATGGGGGCCTGCTGTGGTGTTTCCTTCTCGGCGCCACTGCCCTAATTAAAGTCTCCCGAATCCCCAATTAAAAAAATTGAAAGGTTGGGGGTTCCTTCATAGCCTTCCCCTCTTTTATAGAGCACTCTCTACGCACAATGAGACGAAGTGTCCGGGAGGATCATGGTTTATGTTCGAGAAGGGAAATGAGGGGTCTGACTTTTATCCTGTTTGGCTCGGGTGCTCTGGAGCGCTGGATAGGAATTTGGTCCTAGCGTTTGTCAAGCATCTACTCTATGCTGGCTCTGCTCTGGGTCCTTTACTCATCGGCTCCTTTTAGGGACATGAAGCCGTTGTATACCGCGGCCATTTTACAGATGAGGTCACTGAGGCTCAGAGAGATGACTCAAGTCATCTGAGGTCAGAGCTAGTTGACAGCGGCTCCCGGGATGATCACTGACTCCAAAGCTTTGCCCTCTGTGCTTGGCAAGGGGGCACGGTCACCGGAGCTGAGGCGGCAGGAGGCACCCGAGGCATAAGCAGCCTAGGCAGCAGCTTACAGAGCAGAAGTTAAGGGTGTCAGGGGCCTTCCCAACCCTTCGGGCTGATCCAGTTGCTGCTTTCAGTTGGAAAGCCTGTTTTACAGTGTCAGGATGGCTTAGAAAAGGGTTACAAACATCTTTCCCCGTCCCACTTAGCTGTGAACACATGAGGGTAGGGACTTGATATTTCTCATTTTTCTCCCAGTGCCTGACTTCCGGCCTGGTCATGGAAGCTCAGGGTCCTGGCTGGCTCAGCACTCCAGCGCTGAGGGAGCCGTTTCATCTAAGCCACCTGAGAGGCCAGGGCAAGACACTGGAGTCAGCCTAGGAGCTTGAGGAAGCTCAGCTCGGGGAAGAGAAGGCAGTGGGTCACTTCCCATCAAAGGAAGTATAAGGATCAAGACCCTGAGTTGAGCCAGAGATGGGTCTGGGGAACCAAGAGGCCGTCTGAGGACACCACGTGCTGGGGGAGGGGACCGTGAGGTGGCTGAAGGGCATCTGCCTCACGGGTTTTGCAGCTTTATCGGGTGCTTTTCCAGAGTTGTACCGGGTAGCTTGCAGCCTAGGCAGGGGCCTGTGGTCTCTGCTCTGCTGTGTCTCAAAGCAGAACTTGCCCCCAAGAATCAAGGCTGTCCTGGCACATACCAGGCAAAGCCGAGTTCTCTTCTCGCCCGTGAATGGGGCTGATATGAATGGATCTTAACACAGGGACATTACCTGAGCTTGGCTAGGAGGACCAAGAAAAGGCAGCCCAGTGAGGTACAAGGCCATCGCACAGAGGTCAAGGAACCCAGAAGCCATTTCCCACTGTGCCTGGTAACCTCCTGAGCCAAGCTTCGATGGACCCCCGTCAACAGGGAAATCATATTTGCTGACATGCATTGAGAGCTCACATGCCAGCCACTATGTTAAGCACTTTACATAGACCATCTCCAGTCCCCCAAAGATCCTATTTTGAACCCTATACCCATCACTGTCCTCACTAAAAAGATGAGAAAACAGGAACTAAGGAGGATGAAGTAACAAGGAGAGGGTAGAGGGTCGACCCCAGGGCGGTCCAGCAGAGACAGGTCTGAAGACCCCAGACTCTTCTTATAAGACCTCATCTCCTGCCCATCTCACGTCCCTTCACCTCCAGGCACATGAAACTTATCAAGATTTTTCAACACCCTGAGCTCTTATCTTAGACAGCTGTCCCCTTTTGATGGAGCACACAGTTCCAGTTTCACCCCATCTCTGATGAAACCTGTGTTAGTTCCCCATGTTGCTGCTCTGACAGATTACTACAAACTTAGTGGCTTAAAATGACACAAATTAATTTTCTTAGAGTTCTTGAGTTCTGAATTCCAAAATGGGTCTCAACGGGCTAAAATCAAGGTGTTGGTAGGGCTGCATTCCTTCCGGAGGCTCTAGGGAGAGTCTGTTTCTTTGACGTTTCCAGCTTCCAGAGGCTGCCGGCATTCTTTGGCTCATGGCCCCTTCCCCCGTCTTCAAAACCAGCAGCGTAGCATCTTCCTCTCTCTTTCATTCTCTCTGACCTCTGCTTACATCTTCACATCTCCTTCTGTGATTCTGACTCTCCTGCCTCCCTCTTACGAGGACCCCTGTGATTACATTGGGCCCACTTGGGTGATCCAGGATACTCTCCCCATCTCGAAATCTTTAACTTAATCACATCTGCAAAGTCCATTTTGCCATGTAAGGTAACATATTCACAGGTCCTGGGGATTAGGACGTGGCCATCTTTGGGGGGCTGTTGTTTAGTCTAGCATACCTTCTCTTCTGTCTTTTCTGATGACAGATTGCCTAACTGTCTTCCAATGCTCCCATAGTCCTTTGCATGTTTTTCCTGCTGTGACATTCAGCCTGGTTCTGTCATAATTGTTCAGATGTCTGTCTCCCCAGCTAGACTATGGGTGCCTTAAGAGCAGAATCCATGGCTTAACCCTCTCGTTGTTCATTATCAGTGCCTGATACAGTGGCTGACACACAATAGCTACTTGATAAGCACTGGCTAAAGAATGAGTGATGAATTAGCCTGTGACCCCAGGCAAGACACTTCTTCTTGAGCCTAGTTTCCTCATCTGAATTGATCTTGGAGGCCCTTAGCTCCATGACCTTCTCCCACAGAGATTCCGAGGCACAGCCGACTTTGGACTTTGTAGTAACTGAGCTGGACCTGCCTTCTCAGATGGAACCGTCTCCATTGCAATGCCTAGGTGGCCTCTATTTGGGGATCATGACATATCTTTAAGTCCCCAGGGGGTACAGTGCATCACTACAGAATGTTGGCTCAGCCACTGCAGAGCCTTGGGCAACAGGCCATGACAGCCAAGCACTTTTACCCGGGTCTGTTGAGAGTAAGTCCTGTCACAGCAAAAAGACGTGTCTAGACAAAAATCACACGCCAAACAGGAGAGGGTTTGGTCCCCTCCCTCACTGCTTACTAGCTGAACGCTTTCCAGAGGAGGAGGGCAATGGCAGCCAACACAGAAAAAAAACCTACACAGTGTTGTGAACTCAAAACAGAGACACGGACACACAGGGGCAGAAGGGCAGGCACACTGATGTACATCTTCACACATGTGGACGGAGGTGCACAGGACAGAGGCATGGGGACAGACCCAGTCGTACCCAGACACAGGCATCCATCCTCTTTCCGTCACCTGCACTCAGAATCACAGATACACAGACAGGCCAAGGCAAACACAGGCACATGCTCACACACACACACACAC